TTGTCCTCACTGAGCGGGGCGTCCTGGAAAGATTACCCGTATGGCTCACACAGCGAATCTCAGGACGATCAGAGCTGCGGATTCGTGGGGGCATGAAGGAATAGTCAGTCGTTCTGGTCGTCCACCCGGTCTGGCACAACATAACTCGCTGTACATGAAATTAGATAAGTTGCAATACGGGTCTCTGTCAGAGCCAGTCGAGCTCAACATATGTACATATATATTATTCATTCATTCAGAGCTCTTTATTGAAAAAGGTAGATAAAAGTAGATCTTTCGATATGAGTCCGCTATTGATCTTTGAGGAAATTCTCCAAGAGAACACCTTGTTGATGAGATCGGTCTTGGCAATGGATTTGGTTCGGACCGTGCACTGACCACGTGAACAATTTTGTACGATGTCAAAGAAGTGATCCGTGTCCTCAAGAAGCACAATTCGTTTGAGTGCCCGAATGTCCTGCTCAGTCAGTAAGGACATGAGGAAGTTACGAATATTATATTTTCCCGTCATATGTATGCCTGACATCAGTGGTTAAATTCGAATGGGAATCCGACATCGTCTTCATGGGAGGGGCACGGATAGCAGTTAGACAGTTGGAAAGAGTCGGAAACTCGGAGTCATTGCGAGAACTCTTCGCCTACCGCGCCGGAAGTTTTGGGGCTCCCCTGAAGCTGCATGGTGTCAGTTTTGAGAGAATTCTCGACGGATTCTGCTACCAAGCCGAAGCTCCTCACAAATCCCTAGGAACCCGTGGTAGACTTCGCTCTATTAGACAAATCTATGAAACGATGTCATGATGATGATAGTCTGCGGTCACCGATAAAGACACTCGATCCGGGCAGATTTTTCTCGAGTCAATAACCGTCCCCGAAAGCCCTCCGCGTAGCGGTTTTCGGGAAGATTTCTGAAGCTTCAGCTTTTCCCCTAGCTCCGCGAGTGAGCTTCTTGAGATCTGCGTCGTCGTCGACGCTGCCGCCGCCGTCGTCGTCGTCTTCATCATCGACGTCGTCGTTGCCGACGTCTACTGATCGTCTTGGACAGGCCCGGCGACCTGACGTTGGGAGTAATTACAACATTAGAGACGAGGGCGAATCGTCGAAGAGAGATAACATTCTCACTGGTTTGCTCGACTAGCTTGCCAAGCGGAGCGAGCATCGACACATTTAGGCGCACACATACAATGTCAGCGCATCCGTTGAGATCAAAGATGGCGAGCCCGCAGATCATGATGACCCGCGCCTTCCTGTCGCTCACTGCTGTGTTCGCTCGCAAGCTGGCTGGTTGGCAAGCTGACTGACTGACTGGCTAGCGAGCTGACTGGCCGCCGATACACGATAGATGAACAGATAAATAGACGGGTGGAAAGATAGTTAACTCGACTGATTCACGGTCAGCTTTGCCGTTCAGCGGGTGCCGACGTAAACACTGACGGCGGTTGCGACAAACACCCTCGGTGACTGACGGGCTCTCGGACGTTTCCTCTTCTTCCCGGAAATTCCCCCCGGGTCTTACCAGGATTACGGTCGAAGGAAAGCTAGGAGAGCGGCGCGGATATCGAGGATGTGTGTTTTAGCAATAAGAGCGACGAATACCTCTCAAGCCCTACCTCTGAAAAGCGAGCGCGCTCACTCACTTAAATGAACGGTCGTTGAGTCAATGACGTTCTTAACCGAGATGATTTTGAACCCCGATTCGCAGCACCGTCGCCGTTACCAAGATCTGGACAGGGTTTACATACTTAGCCGGAGAAGCAGCCGCTGAAAATTAGCGCTTACGAGAGAGTCGAATTGATCAGTACTCCGATTACCATTAATTGATCCGACGACGAGAAGATGAATCGAATCTCCGATATACAGCAGCAGCAGAAAAAGTCGATGACATCGACTCGGAACGGAAGGCAGTAACCGCGACACTTCATCACGAACGCGTAAAACCTGATCAATCTCGTCAGAACATTTGTTTTTTACGAGCTGTTCCGGTAAGCGAAGGCACGTTCGATGTGTTGATCAACCTGGGCCGGGGAAGGGACACGTGAATGAGGTACGCGAGAAGCGTCTTCCTTCGAGCTCGATCCCTCACCGCCAGATCATTCGTAGGAATTATCGAGCTTCTCCACAGAGTCTCTCTCGTTGTTGGACACCGCCTTGGTTCCATGAATTTTGAGCGAAGTATTTTCCGCGTTGCGTAACCCGGTCAGCGAGCGACTGGATTTGCGGGGTTTGTCTACTGGCCGCTGGACTATCTCGGACCGGCGAAAATGTTCGTTCAAGACACCCACCACCTCTTCACGACACAGGGCGAACGGGTTCCAGACATCGAACTTCCCTGGCGAACAACATGCCGGATGAAAGTAGTGTACTGTACAAACGCTAGATTGTCTTACGCGGATGATGCTTATCGGTGATAGCATTAGATTGAGTTCCGCTCCGAGTGTCTAGAGAAAAATATGTTCTCCTATGACATTCACCTCGATCAAATCTTCCTTTTCTGTAGAAGCGCTCCGAATCGGACGATTCTCGGACAGCTGAGAGAAAATGCTCACCGAAAGAATCATCGGATGAATTGTTTTAGAACTTGACGTGTCCAGCTGTCATGGTGCCTCTGGTTGAAGAACCTCTGTAGAAGTCGGCATCGGGGTGGGCACCGCCTACCGTTATCGTTTCGAGCGCTGAAGGCGCTCCACAAATGAACCTGCAGAGACACACGGCGTGTGTCTGCTCTAAAGGGTGATTGATACAATGGGAAGCGTCCACCCGATCATTTTGAGCGATCGAATTGTTGGAGCGAGCTCGGAGTTCCGCTGCCGGTGAGAAATGTTCCAAGAGCGCAGTGAGAGGCAGCGAAGCATTTTTCGCCATATTCATCTTCGCAGCGGCAAATTAAGAGATTTCGGATTCTTGGACGACTCGAACCCTGACGATTAACAGGAATTTCCTTAGAAGCCCTTCTGTATTGAATCCCAACGGCAAGATGCGGAGAGATCTTCGCAGTGATAAGTTTCAGTTTTCGGAATCGAAAGCAATATACTACGTACGTCGGGCATCCTTTTCGGGAGCTTGGCGAGCTCTCCTTGAAATCCAACAGAGCTGCCCTCGGACAGAGTCAAGCATCGTTTTGGGTGGCGGAGATGAGCCAGGGAAGGTTCAATTTCAGGAGCCCCGACTGAGCCATGAATCTCGAGGTGCGGAACAACTGTCGTCCCGGTCCCGTGCAGCGAGCCCGCGAAAGGACGAGACGTTCAATGATTCGGCCTCGAAATTGCATCCGGGCGACGAATATATCGACAGATCTCCGTGGAAATTATCCCAAGCACGACGTTTCGTTCAGAAAACCATTGGAGAGTGAGTTTTCGATTCTGAGCTCTTCCCGCGGAGAGGTTACGTATATTCAGTTAAGATATGGGATGCTCATGGTGGGTCACTGAGCTTTTAATCGAGAAATTCCGTTTTTTCACATATATAATCTCTCCAAGGAAGCTTCTGACAAGCGGACATGTGTCTGAGTTCCGCGGTGTGTCTTCGTCGACAGGTTTTTGTGGCGAAATGGAGCAGAGTTTTGTGCCGTTGTCATGGTTGGACAACTCGGATCGCTTATAGGATTTCTGTGAATGTCGCGTTTCTGGGCCACAAACCTACGTCAACGTGAAGCCCACTCTTTAGTATCCAACAGTCGAGATTGATCTGCATTGGTGGTTTGCAGCTCGGTCGGTGACTGGCGTGTCTGGTGTCCGCTTGTCTTTTTTTCTCTCTAGTGAAGATATCTCGACGAGGTGGGGGCGGTTTGAGATCTACCCGAAGCGTCACGAGACGCTTTTCAGTGTGCTATATCCCTCACTTGTCCGAACGTTCGTATCCTTAAGGTGAACACGAGCAACGCGCGTGAGAATACCATTGTATAGGACCAGCTGGACAACCGACCGATTTCCGGGCCTTGCTCCATGGATGAGCCACACTCTAGAGAAATGTCCAAGGGTCCGTGTTCGGACCCGGTGTACATGATGGGATTCTGTCCCCGATCACTGATGCAACTCGTTCCCTAATCTCGGACGGGACTTCGAGGAGTAATGTGATATCCCGCAGTCTCCGCATGGATGACTTTCGAGACTGGCCAAGGGATTCCACGAAAGATTTGTCCACCCCTTTGATGAATTGATGCAAGAACGCGTATGCAGCAGAAAAGATTCCGTCGTTTTCAGCTTCACTCAAGATTCTGATATACCGAAAATATCCTTGTACGAAGGCGGTCTTCAACGATTTGCGCTTTCTGAATGCTGGAATCCTAGAGTCTGAAATTGAGCTCAAGGAACGCCATCATAAGCATCTGGTTCCAGAACCTGCTATATCCGGAGAGATCTGTCCGGGATGCGATCCATGAATCATTTGATCAATATTAGAGAAAATTCAATCCGCGCTCTCCCCCGTGTTCTGGCCGCGGGATGCCACGCGCTCGCGCGATTGGCGAACTTCGTACCGATTGTGATTGAATCTTACGGAATATTACCCAAGCGATTCGTTCTACGAATGAATTGGCTCAACAGAAAGATGGATCGCCGGAGAATGTCCCAGCAAGTCTGACTGAGATTTCCGACAGTTCCATCGCCGAGAGGTAAGACGTAAGACCCATACGCGGGTTGACCACCAGCGACGCATCGGAACGAAGTCTCTTTTCTGGGGGCATCTCGTTGGATCAAACGGATTTCAATCGCGTTCATGTACAATACAACTGTCAATCTATCAAATGAGCGGAAAAATAAACACGGGACGAAAAGAGGTTCCGGTGGACGACAATGTCACTGCAACAGAAAAAGCTGAATGGATTCAAGTCGTAAATGTCAATGCGCGAATCTTCCCCCGGTGAGCTACGGTGAATCGCGCCGCTGCCGCTGAAAAGTCCGTAGACCTTGGCATTGCTCGTGAGACGCCTTCGTTCCCCGCCGCAGGGTGGCGTTGTCGTCCACGTGGGGCGGCGACTTCTATAAAATCACAGATCCACATGGCGGGAGTCCACTGGTGTACTGAAGTCCGTCGTCTGACAACAAGACAATCACCGCCGTCGTGCAATTCTGTGAGCGTCCTCTCGAACATCTAGAGCGGCGAATCGGTAGCTGGACGGCCCCCACCGACGATGAAGGTGAGTTCAGCCGAGGGAACTGGGAGTGATTGACAGCATCTCAAGTCTCACGCATCGGAAGTAATAACTAGTGCATTCGGTGTGATGTGATCATTGTGCATCGCTTGCATCGCCCGATCATGGTACTGGCGAGAGCCGCCGATCGATTGTTTTAAGTCCGCTGTTCTCGACAATGCAGCGGGTTGCGCGGGAAATCGACCCCACACCAACACGCGTATCGGGCAGCCGTGGAGGAGTTCATTCGTCTCGTTGCCGCTTGGAAGAGTCCGTGGATATCCTTAGGAATAGGATTTCCCATTTCTCTGAGCGTCGGCTCTCATGAGTTGCACTGTACTCGGCAGGACTATTGTGAAATCCTCATGAACAAAATCGGTGCCCACTGGTTCCCTCGAGCCCCCACCTTGCCCTGTGGACGATATCGAGCAAGAGAGGTCGATCTCGAGTATCCTTGAGCATATTCAGTGTCTCTAGGAAATCGATCAAGAGTGCTTTTCCATTTCGAAATGAGATGGGATTAATCGTGCCGGTTCCTCAGGCCGTTCATCAGCTGACCCCATGGTTCTGCCCCCGTCAGCCTGACATGATGAAATTAATCCGATGACTCCCATTAGGTATATTCGATTCGGGAGGATCGGTGAATATTGCCCAATTTACATTCTAGAGTGACATATTTTTCTTTTCGTCTCCCTAAACGTCCTTCCTACGATTATTCTAATGGCTGGCGTGAAATATCGATTTCACTGCCGTTTATCAAATCGACGCTTATTCCGCCTTCCCTTCTCAGCGAGTTCCCATATCTTCGATCAGGATATTCGATTTTCGCCCCCATAATTCAATTTCATAGCTCTCTGCCGATCGGTAATTACCGTAGAATGAATCTGTCGATAACCTCTGCTTATCATGCTCGGCCATGGAATATGGGATAAGGATAAATTGTTTCATGGGATGTTTTCAGCAAAACTGTGCGGGCTGTCGCTCGTAGTCCAACGCGCTCTGAATGAAGTTTGCTTCATCGACACTATGTGCGATGATTCCATTCCGGTCATCTGACAACCGACACGATGAGAAATGATTTCACTCCATTAGGCAAAGACCGGAGATTCAACGCCAATCGAAGAAAGCTTCCGAACGTTACCGCTTCTCGGACGCATAGAACCGCTCCCGAAACATTTGCTCTTTTGCCAATTTGACAACCCGAGCGCTTGATGGTCGATTTCTTCGAGGTTTCAACTCATCTCGGATTTTTTTCTCAGAAAGAGTGAATGGTCAAGCAAGCCTTTGTCCGGATCCATTTTTTCCCCTAGCCGTGAGTCCCGTGACGTAACCGCGCTCCGCAGTGGTTCCTACTGCTATAGCATGCTCGATCCATTGCTGCTGTACCTTTTCTTCCCTCTGACCGTGGGTCTAGCATGAATCGAGCGAGGAATCAAGTATATCTCCCGACGTTGCCGCGACGGCGTGATTCCAGTCTCACGAGTCCAGATGCTCCACTTACATTTCTGTCCACGACTGTCCCAGTTGCGTCCTCGGAGCTTCCCAGACGGAACGGGGTATCGCCTCGCATCTAGATGAACCGAAACTTATGCAATCTATCGGAATCGGTAGCCTCGATCTCCTCCCAGCATTCCGACTTGCTGCCAGAGAATCGTTTTCCGAGGATTCGTCCTAGACTATCACGGCAGCGCCGACGTCCGCCGCCGTCGGCTGCAGTCTGCGCTTGTTTCTAGCGGAAAAGAACGGATTTCGTCAGTCAAAAAATTCCAATCTTGACAATGCGCGCCCTTGGCCAGAGGAAGAATCCGACTAGGCAGTCGCCGCTGGCGGTCACCGCAACGGTTTCTTCAATTTGCATCGTTTGTCGCGAAAGACCATCGGCGAAAGTTAATTGGATTCGGGCCGAAGTGACGAATCGGCATCGATCAATAACGATAGTAACTATGCCGCAGCACTTGACCGGGTGTGGGCGAGTCTTCTATTCGACGGATGCGACCGCACGGTGTTGAGACTTTCGCAAAGCGGTTCATTAGTCTTCAAGTATTTTGTCAAGCTCAAGTGGATGTTTCTTCCGCCGAGGACGAGTCTCTCTCGCCAAGAGGCTGAGTGTTTCGCTTCGCCCGAGGCGCGAAAATTATGCGTATTATCACGGTATAGTTCGCTTGATGGCGCCACATCGGAACCCACTGCTCGTGGCTCGAATAAGCGGCGGGTCCGGTTGATCAGACCGGATCAATCTCCGGAGGTGCACAAGCGAATCGCAGCAATCAGTCGGGAAACAATATCGCGGTTCTCCTCCGAGTCTTTCCGGTGCCCTGACGGTGGCCGAGACAGGTCCCGCGGGAGAGCACTTGTTCAATCGGTAGGACTTTCAATCATCATAGAAGCTCGAGAGGAGGCTGTTGAATCAAGGGATCGGAAACAGCCTTGATGAATCATTCTGTAGCGTCGTCCTTAGCTCCATAACAGAAATGTTCGTAGGTGGGCGGGCGTATCTACATTCGACTCAGCGCACGACTCTTCCCAGAGTAAAAGCTTTTGTTCTTCTTTCGTCGAGGGGCGAGTTTCAATATGAAAGTTAGCTCGCGAATTCACTGTTTGCGGGAAGAAACTCCCCAATCTTGCGTAACTTTGGGAATTGTGTCACCATGAGAGACGCGCCGGTCAGAAGAAAGCTGAAGTTCACCTGAAAAGAATGGTGAAGAAATGCCCTCACCTCGGAGTTTCATGTTTTTACCGTGAGTTCTCGTCTTGAGATGAGCCAGTCAAAGAGATTTGCGGATAAGGAGAAGAAAACAAACATTTTCCCTCTGGTTTAGAAAAGAAGAGGATCTTTCGATACTCCACCGACAAAAAATCAGCAGCACATGGCTAACGCAACCGAGCCACTGCTGCCGAAGCACAGTGTGAAAAGCGTCTGAATAGCGGTTGTCAGAAGACCTCTCGAGTCTTCTCGGGATGTACGCAAGATACGGTGGTCGAAGGCCCAAATTACTGCGTTCGAATCTTCTGTCCGCTGTGAGCTTCAGCGGCGACAACGGGAGCAACGAGTGAAGAACGACCCATGGGGCATTCCGCCGGGCTCCGTTTACTTGGTTAGGATCGGTGCTTTCGACTTGCAATGTCATCCGAGCGAAATCCGGCACCGAGATCCTATCTCGATAATCTCACTGATTCAGTCAACCAGCGAACGGAAACATTTATCGCGGCCAAATGGAGACGTCCGGTGCTCAGTGACTTATCTCGACACGTCCACTCGGGCCATCTATTCTGTGGGTGTTGCCCAAGGAGCCGTATTCGGCGAACAGCGACATTTCTTCAGGCATCCAATCCACTCCGTTGTCCGCATCCAATCGAGTAACGTAGAATACGATAGAGCGAGGCGAGTTTCGATCGTGACCCGACGCGAGTAGGATTGGTGCGGAAGATGTCTGCCTACCGGCCGGCCACTGCCCGTTTCATTACTGCCCACATCCAATGCAAGCGGCCCTTGGGATGCTTCGCGCGCATGGACCCCTGAGGCATTGCGATCCCATCGCGCTGACAGAGACACATGCAAGAGTCCCTCGATCGATCACAATCTAGCGACTTCTGCGCAAGCGCGAGAATGAGAAAGGGATGAAAACCTCGATTCTCCACTACTGATCGGGTCCTCCCGAACAGAACTCGGAAATAAATTCCAAATTATTGCTGCAGAAAGGAGCTCAAATCCCCCGCTTTTCACGATCTCGATTTGCCCTGAATTCTCAGAGATTCTATCTGTTCGGAGAGCTTTGTTCAAAATAGAATTCCCGCCTTCACTCGCGGATCGAGATTTGGGGATTCCCCGAAGTTCGCTTCGCGAGAAGTAGTCATCGCAAAAACTCCGATTTCTTCACGCGGTCAGGGAGGAAATGGATAGAGAACTGATCCAAGAGCCATCGTCGAGCTCATGCCTACGGTGAACAAGGATTTCCGCTGGGACTCGTCCCAGAACGGATTCGAGCACCCTATCCTCACAATGGACTCTCACTGCACGTTCTCGGAAGACGCCCTTCGAGATGTTATAATCTAGAGAGAATTTCTCCAGGATGGCGGGGAGTGTTTACTCTTTCTTCTTCCTTTCTCGAACACCGTCGGTAAAGAAACGAAGAACATTCTGCCCTCAATGCCATTCGCGAACGATTCTGTGGGGCGCTGTCCAGTTGACTTATGGTCACTTGAGTCATCGAGCAGCAGCAGCGGTGGCGGCGCGGCGAAGACTACTATCTTCGCCATCTTCGTCGTCGTCCTACGGTTTGAATACGACCCACGGTATCTCCCAATGGTCCTCCCGGTACCGAGCATTCATCGGGTTGTTCTGTCCGCACGTCGGATCGAGTGAAGGACTTTACCTGTCATGTGTGCGCGCAAGCGAGCGCGCGTGTATGCGCATGTGCAAGCTCGCTCGTTTCCTCGGCTCATTTCTTGCGCTGGTCGACACTGCTCCGTTGCGAACATGACGTCCAACCAAGCGAGCTGTCTGGCGGTGCTATTGAAGGCCAGACATGGCAGTGGGAGTAGCGCCGAATCCGATGATTCTGAGGAAAATACTCAATGAAATCTAGCCCGATCGTATGCTCGAGCGAAGACTTCCTGTGGCTCGATCGCTCCACACAGTAAATGTACTATCGCCCGCTCCAAGCAGAGTATCGGGGGAATTCCTCAAGAGAAAAACATTTCACGAGGATGAAGCTATCAGTCTTTGAACGACTGCTCACGGGTCATCCGTATGAGATGATAATCGATTATGAAAGCAATCCCTTGAGCCGTGATCGCTTCTGATCGATTCGTTCATGCATGCATCCATCCATCCCTCCATCGATCAATTAAGGTAACGCGGATTCTCTCGACTTGCTCGAGCCCCCCTGGTTAAAACGTCCCCGTAGGTGAGATGCTGATAGGTCTGTCCGAAGCAGCACTAAGGCACCGAATTCTCGAAGCTGACCACTCTTGCTGAGTCAGTGATACCATACATTCGGAGGCAGGTGTCATCGGCGGCGATTCAGAAGACGATTGCTAGGGTGAAGAGTCCAACAACATCCGAAAGGTCTCTCGGTCAGAGCTTTTATCGCCTAATAGAAAATGATTCGAAATTTCGTCGTTTCAGGTGTTTCTGGCCCTGGTGCTCGTAATCGGTGCTTGTCACGCCCGATCCAATGACGGTTTCTCAAGCATCAATCGTCAGGAAGACGTAAGTACTTAAAAGTAACGATGAGCGAAATGCCGGCATCTGTTTAGTTTATTGTGCTGAGCCGTGCTGTTGTCGGTGTTCGGGAATTTTATTTATGAAGCATGTCTCGGGTGTGCCGAGCGAGCGAGCGACCGGTCGGTCGGTCGTCAGTGATTTGTCAAAGCCGCCGATTCTCCGTTCCTCGGATGCCGTGGTCGTTGTCAGTAGTAGTGAGAGGAACTCAGAACGGCACTTGGTCGTCGTCGATGTAGTTGAGGGATTCCTGCGAGTGCTTTTTCGTCTTCGTCTCCTTTGATTTCTGTCGGTCGGTCGGTCGCTCGCTCCGGAGCGTCGGCTCGCTCGGCATGACAAAGTGTCTTCTCTCGCGCTCATTGACTCACATACTCAGATTCTGTTGATTGCGTGTTCGATTTAACACCGATTCGAGACAGGCGATCTAGTAATTGTTAGCGATCAGGAACGGCATGCGTAGGTATATCATCGACTATTGTACTGCTGATGCTGGAAAAGTAATTGATGTGATTGACCGATCTCAACGGAATGTCGCTCCAACGATGGTCGCGTAGCTTAGGCTTCTCTGATAGCTCTTCAAGTGCTCGGTAACTGTCACGCCCTTTATCTGGCAAACTCGTCCTCCAGGCGATGCTACAGATTTCTTACGATAGATAGAAGCTTTCCTCGAGAGACGAGTCAATCTCCCTCCTCAGTGCCTATCGCTCTCGGTTTTCGGCATGTTCTGCCGAAGCTGCGGTTTTTTGAAGCTACTCGCTTCCCTTATCGACGGTATCCGCGTCATCCGCATCCGGATATTTCCGCCGCCGATCATCACAGCGATCCGCTCAGAGCGAGTATATCCCTGGTGATATCTCTGCAGACCTGTCAAAGACGCCCGCATGTTGCACAAGGGCTGCGCTTCACGTCAGCTCCGAACGAATTGTTACGCACCACGTCGTACACGATGACGACTGGGCGCTAAACGCGGGGGCTACGGAAGCCTGGATTTGCCACTCATTGTGGGGCGCAGCGGATTGCGCAAAAAGCTCCCGAATCGCTAAGCTCTCCACGACGCTTTTGTTTTAGGGCCATGGTAATTACCACTACAACTACGATATAATCGATTGGGATACAAACCACAAACGCTGGGAAACCGTCGACGCGGACAACAACCGACGCGGAGGATACACGATCACTGACGTCGATGGCAAAGTCCGACAAGTCGAATACACAGCTGACAAGAATGGATTCCGTGCCGTCGTCCGAACGAACGAACACGGAACGAAATCTCACGTTGCCGGAGACCATGACGCTGTGTACCTTCGAGACGGGGTGAATACCATCCTGACGGAAGCTCAGCCGGCCCTCCAGCAAACGGGGCACGTCATCAAGCAAAAGGTTAGGTCTTCCGGTCTCTTGCTACCTTAGTTGTATCATAAAGATGTCGGGATCATCGAACAGGGAAACCGATTTTCCCATCTCTTGGTTGGGAAGTGATTGGCACGTTCAGATTACTGATGATCGGGCCCATCCATCAGTCTCCGGAGATAGGTGGATTGATTGATCGATTGATGGATCGAACAATCGGTCGTTGACAGCCCATCGAAGATTCTATCAAACTCTCAGTGTCTGACGATGCCTTTATCCTATTGACGAAGTGTCTTCCCACAGCATGGCCACGGTCATCACGATCATCATCATCACCATCACCAACAACAACAACAACATGTTCCGGTGGCGCCCATTGTTAGTCATCAAGTCCGGCCAGCGATCGTCAAAGTTCATCAACCGATCGTCCAGCCCGCCCCCGTCATCGTACATCGTCCCTTGATCCACGAGACCCTCATTCAGAGAGCTGAGCCGCTTGTGCACCATCACCACCACCACCAACCGAGTAGGTTCTTTCATTCATTAGAATTTTCGGGACTCAGATTTTCCCCCAGGAGACGCCTTGTTAAGACTATCTACCCTTTTCAGTCGTTCCCATTGTTCCTAAACGCACGGTCGCCTACGCTCCGGTCGTGAACAGGCCTCAAGCGGTCTTCGAACATGTGCACCGCGTCGTGCACCAACCGGCCATTCGAGTGCACCAGCCGATCATCGCTCACAAACCCGTGCAGCCGGTGGTCCCCGTGCAACCTGCCATCCGTCGTGAGGAAATCGTTGTCAGGCAGCCAATCGCGGTCGATATCCCGGCCTACAGTGGGCCACGCAGAAGACCACAACGACCTGTTGAAGATCCCGCTCAGGCTTTCGAAACTCCCGAAGAGAAAGTGATTCTCACTCCCAAGCGAGTTCCCGCTTATTCTCCCGATCAGGATCTTCCCGACGAGTTCGTGCCCACGGTTCCTCCTCCATCGTCACGTCTCCGTGTCGCCTACGCTCCCGAGAAGCTTATAGCTCCTCGACCTGTTATCGTTAAATCGGCTCCTGTCACGCGCTTCGCTCCCATCGCTCTGCGACCGGTGGCTCAGCCAATTTATTCCTATGGACCCGCATACCACACAAGTTCTTATCAGACTGCCGCTCATCCGGCTCCCTACAGGAGTTCGTGCAATCGCTGCGGAGGTTACAGGAAAGCCAAATCCAGTTAATCTCCCTAATAGGGCCCAATTTATCCTTACACCTCAAAGGGTCTGGAACCCGAAACACGATCGAACGGTGACGACACAGAGACTCGCGAGAAGTTTTCATATCGGTTCCGCGGATAGCGCTCAGGAGGAAGTTCTGCCCCCTCCTCGGTGAAACCGGTCCCAGTATGATTGACGGAACGGAAAGGAGGAGAAACTCTAGAACAGGCTGCCGAAAGTGACTGATGATTTCGCTCCCGACCGAATTCCGCTTCTGATGGGTCTCGTCACCTTCAGCTTGACTCTTGCTCAGATACGTCCACTCTCTATATATATTTAAGGATTGCTCGAGCATCATCCGCTTGGAGCCTAGACGCTTTCTTCTGTGGGTGTGGCAGGTCGCGTCTCGGAACGGTGCCAATCTAAAGAATAGCGAACGGCGCATTAACATAACTTTCCTTCTTCCGCAACTCGAGAAAATGCTCTATGTACATTGCGCTCGGCTGGTGTGAACGGATCCGATCCCTAGATATCTATTTCTCTACTGGTGTATATTTCAATAAACTCGAGGGAAGAATCGTACTTCGTGAGAGCAATGCATTACTACCGTATGTATATGTATACAGGGTGGCGCCAAATCTGGTTTTCCCTTGCTTGCGTAAAATGTTAAAACTACCTGGGCATGTGTAGTGCCCCAGGCTACGCGACCGACCTCCGATGCTCGAGCCCAACGAAGACGGGTGACAGGTGATCGTGGTTGCCCATCTTGGAGAGTCCATTCATGCGAACCCGCGGAGATGCCAGAGAATCTTGGAGCGCGACAGATTCTCGATCCCTAATTGTACGACTCAGACTCGGATCGGGGGCACATAGCATATTGCGATCGTGCGCAGCTAGAAGTTTTGTGCTGTGATTCGAGGCCCGGGATGAGAACAGATTCACCCATCTGGCCCTACGTAAGGAGCACCTAGAGATAACCACGAAATAGGCTATTGAGCCATCAAACTCACTAAGCTCGCCGCTCGGTGCTTTCCCCAGGAATTGAGGATTTTTACAATTTATTTAGTAACTACAAGTCTCTCCTGCACGCTCAAAATATTCCTGTCTGGATGATCTAATTCGGGAAGTATGTCTTAATTCGAGCACGGCACAACATGGCTCAAGATCGGTTCATACCCTATCATTCTTCATACAGACCACCCCACGCTTTACAAGAATGATGGGATGCGTTTTTCTCGCTACTCCAATGCATTAAGGGGTATATGAGCTCCCTGCCAACCATTCCTCATTCTATTTGATTTAGGATCATGAGCCCCCGTTCTTTCAGCTAGAGATGAGACGAGGACTCTCTTATTATGGGGAAAGTGATGCCAACCGACTGACTCGCAATTTCGGATTCGCTCATGCCGTGTAAGCTCTTTCCAGCACACATCTCTCGTCTCAGATATACCTGGGCCGTGCAGACGGTGCAGTACGAATCACTAGTCTGTGCGAAATCCCCCGCATCGTAGAGCGCCGCTCTGTGTTATCCACGATATCCATAAGAGTGGCGGCATCTTCTCCTACTATGTTCTCCGGGACGCCCGTCACTTCAGAAAGCAAGTGTCGGAATGAGGAATACTGGGTCCTTGGTGGCTTCCTCAGTTGCAGCGAGATGAGTGTCAGGGCGCTCGCCGCACGAAGACGAGTGCGTTTAAGACACGCTGGCATATTTCTACGATGTATAAGGTAAACACAGCTTAGATAACCCGCGATATCCAAGTATTTCTGGAAGCTTCTAAAAGGTCGCGATCTGTGCATCGACGTCAATATAGTCTCCATCAGCTGGAGCATTGTGTTACTCTCAACCCTGAAGTCCAGAGTCGCGAGGATCTGCTGTTCGTGCACCTGCAGCTGAGCGAGGCTATACTCACCAATCTGCCTCGAGCTCAAATAGTATTGCACTTCCGTTAGAGGAACTCCTGCGTGCCGCAGATGCAGTTTGGAAGCCAGTACGACCACCATGGGAGGTGTTATCTTGGCGAAGTTTGCGCCCTTCTCCATCAAAGCTTCGATGAGTCCCACGACGTGACACATGACGGCCACCGGTTGGTCGAATGTGTGAGCGAGATCGAACAATTTCTGCACGACGTCTGGCGGACAGATCCTGGTATCCGGAATTTCGTACTTGTCCGACTTTAGGAGGTCCTTCAGGTGGTCGATCAGATCGCTGTCCGCGCACAAGTCTGTATCGACTCCGCGGTACTCTTGATAGGAACGTCTTCTGAACATCTTGAAGTTGTATTCATATCACGACAAACATGACATTTGTGACTGGAAGGAAGACAAAGGGCCGTTTACACCAAATTCGCAAACTTCTGGAAATTCGTCGACTTGATATTCGACAGCAGGGGTGCCGGAGGTAGGACCTGCCATCGAAACAGGGGGAATGAACGCGGAGGGTTTACATGTCTGAGCGCCAAATGTTCGGAGGAGCAGCATCAAATGTGGACGATGAGGAAGCTTCCTCAAAATCAGCTCAAAATCTTCACGCATTAGTTCCTCATGATAGCCCCATGGCTCACGAGAGATAGTCAGCTTTGCCGATTGGAAAAGTAGTCACGGTGAACGGAACACTCGTGAGGATCAGCTGATACGGTCAGGCGACGAAACCAAGAGGAACCGCCGCGTGTGTCGAATGCATAGAGCATCGGTGACCCGGAGCGCGGTCGGCCACCCGCAACACGCTCCGAGGAGTTTGGCACTTGGCGGGATTATCCGCACTCGATTCACTCACAATAGGATGGGAAGATATCGTGTCGATATATCCTCGAGAAAGACAGGAACGGACCAACCCAGACGCCTCTCCGCTCCGGTGCTAGGCTTCGTTAGAAAACAAACAATCCAGAAGTCACATGTACACCTCCCACGGACGAATTTCTCCCGACAATCGGTTCTCTCTGATAGCGGGGCACGATCCTCATTCGCTGGGCAGATTTCGATCTACGATTTCGATCCGCGAAGCGTTTAGGGGATCGAGTGTCCGCGAGTACAGAGTTTGAGCGAGACGAAGTCAATTTCATCAGGAGGCGAATTTTTATTCGACCGAAGGTCGGTACAATAATTATACCTCCTTGCAAGTGGCGGGTTGGTTTGTGGAATTGAGTTCAGATCACCTTCAGGAACCGTTCCGATTTTGATTCTTTGTGCTCGATCAGGATGCATTCGTTGCGACCGAAAATAATCTTTCATCGGCATCGCAAGGACCATCTTCCGAATAAGAAATTAAGATCAATAAGATTCCATGGAAATCATGAGTTCGACGCAAGCCCTTCCCATGCGACGCGGCGCGATCAATCCAGCTCTGGATCTCAGGAACTCCTCTAGCCTGCTGAGATATTGAAAAGAAGCGATTACGATCGATGCCGTACTCCATTCGCCGGTGGTGTGGTATCCTGCTCACAGGTTCCCAACTGCTCGAAATCAATTTATTATATGCACAGAACAGTTCGTGACGACAGCTTCCAAAATTCATTTTCCCTGATCCAGACTACCCGAGTTGTTTGAGAGACCTAAAGGGCTCAACGACGGCCTTCATTGATTCTGAGAACGCGTTCTCGCATGTCCTGTGGAGGATTTTGGCAGTGGTGTACGACCATTTCTTCGTAGGAACAGGGTCCGAAGGCGCTCCTACAACACATACACCGCAGGTTTGCGAAGCGGCCGGCGCAAGTGTCTTTCGCGTCACGCGTCCAGCGATGTCCCCATGGCATCATCACTGCAATGGGCGAAGCGAAATCAGGTGACCGAGGCATTCCAAAACGTTCAACAAACAAGATTATATTCGCTCAGTTGTATTCCCGGGTCGCCCGAAGCTGTCGCCGCGATCCGCGCCGTGGCGTCAGACATACACGAGACACGTCTTATGTTCGGCCGTGACGTTGGTCATACTTACAGTAAGGATCGTTTCTTTTGTCAGAGCGTATGTCTCCGTGATCCTTGCAGACTCTGACGAGCACGTCGATGAGGCGACCACCACACTCACCGATCGCATTGGACGCAGCTTCAGTCCCGTGGAAAAACGGACAAACAGCGAAAACGACCGCCAATGCAGCAAGGGCGAGATTCATTGTGAATGTTGGCCGTTTGGTCGCCGTTGGGCCTTAAATACGCTCCCTTGGTTACGGCATTATTCGAGGAGTCCTGGGCCCGTGGTTGTCGTCGACGTCGACGTCGATCCTTAGATGTCAATCGCAGCAGGCATCATGTCAAGAGTCACCCTCTCATGGGGATCACACGGCTAAGGGAGTTCATTAACCAATTTGTTTTCGACTCTCGGAATCGTTCCGCCGTCAGAAACTCTGTGGGCTCTCGAATGCTCCCCGAGGAATCTGGCATTTCCCTACTCCGATGAGATTCACCCTGACTTGACTTGGGAAAAATCGACACCCGCTCGACCCGAATCATCACCACTCGCTCCCGCTTAATCGCTTTATTCAAGTTTAGCTCAGACTGATCTTCCATCGGATTCCTGATCCGACTCCGAATGAATAACCAGGGCTGGAGATCCATCTGCGGATCACCAGGTACGGGAATGACTCTCTATCAATATATGAACGTAAGGGCTCTCCAGGTTCAGAACATAGCGTTGCAGGGAGTCTGAGCAATCATTGCGTCCTTCGATTTACATTGGAAGGCAGTCGCGAACGGCGAGAAGTTTGATAGGCCCCGGTTCACTCGATGGAAATTGGGAGGATGTGATTCTGCACTTGACCAGGAGAAGAACGGCGATAGCCAGCATTGTGGGTAAACTCGACTAATGAAGAACATTTGCTCGAAATTGAAAATTGATTTCATGGGAAGCCTAGGGAACGTATTTCTCTCCTTCAACCATTTCAGAGCGTCGAGAGATACTCGCAATGAAAGGTGATCGGCTATCGCCTCTTCGAGATAAAACCGCTCGTTTTGGTTTTCATTAAGGAACGGCGCGTCGTAGAGCTCCTTGAAGCATTCTTCGGAATTCTGCAATATTAATCTACGAATATCATGAAAGGTCTCAGAGGGGTAGAATTCGGCTTTTATCGCGATGAACGATAATGTACCGACGCACACGACGCGCTGAAATTGTGCGGTGACGGAGGGAAGGTAATTACCGCGTAAGCTGTGTGATAATACGATTCGTTCCGCTCTAGGGGTGATCTCGCACGGGTAGCGATATTCTTAACAGTTTTCAAGATTGCGTGGCCGATCTCGTGAGCGGCCGCCCATCCGATTGCACCGAGGGTACTCCATAGCGGCAATGTTTCAACCATGTATGGGAACTCCAGTAGTGAAGCCGGTAGGTAAACATCAGCAGTCGCGGCGTAGTATATGAAGCCGATAGGCTGAAGGGAGGAAAAGGGGAAATGTTGAGTTCTGCGGCTCAGGAGGATCGTTTGCGTACACTCAACCTTTCAGTAAGAGTGTACGCAAACGATTCTTCCTCCTTCTCAAAGGCGTGATCGCGCCCCGACAGATTGTGTCTACGAGTACCTAGAAGCTTCAATAGAATCAATATCGGATTCTCGATTCCGGATTCTCGCCTACTCGGTCGCAAGCTTTTCCGTCGATCTCATGTTCATTGCCTATCACCTGTCCGGGCGCTGAAAATCGGAGCTCATCGGATAGCGAATCCCGTCGCTTCTCGGTGACTCCAGATTCAGATCATCCGATGTGAGAAGTCCTCAGTCAGAAATCGAATCCACGCGAGAAAGCTCTGATCAAAGCTCTGTCGCATCAGTCCCAAGTTTCGTTCTATCTATACTGGTGGTATACGACGAAATCGATACCTCCCGCCACACAGCGTCGACTTACAGCGTCCAAATTCATGTTTCGATGAAAAGGGAAACCGACGGCGGCCAGTTGGAGCGACCGCTTGCTTCTCCTCACTTCGATGATGTTATGCACCATGTCGTAGGGCGACAGTGCGAATCCAAGCTCCGATATTTCGAATCTATCCAGAGATTCCGGATATAGGCCGCGAGCCCGAACTCTGACCAAGGCTTCGATTATTTGGACTCTGGTCCTCATATCCATTCCGCCTGCCCCGTCGATACGCTGGAAGAAGTTTGAGATAACGAGCTCTCCTCAAAATATCCCATGAAACTCGCCGCGATAAAGAAAACTGAGTTTTACTCGGAGACGAAATGGATATCGATCGGATTTCGCACCTTCGCGTACATGCACTTGAACAGATTGAAGAGATAACGTGCACGTCTCACAGTGTAATCGGTGTGGGTTGCGCGCGCCACCATCGCCGCGGTTGACCATTGGAAGACCCGCTGCGTCTGCGAGGAGGATAAAGCTATCGGTATGAAAGGCTCGAATCCCGGGCTCTATTCGAGAAGTGGAAGCCCCGGAGAAGTATGTTCAACTCACGATTGTTGCGCAGAACTTCTCGGCTTCAGACTCGATTGCCGGGTCACACTTAGCCGAATGGGCGCACTTAGTCCGACCGAGGTGTCCCAAGAACTCGTTCCGAAGTAAATGAACTGATACGAAGTCGATGAAAATCGGCGACAGCTCGGGATCTGTCATTGCGATCACGAGTGGCTCGAAAAAGAAAGGTACCATCGTTATGCGGTCCTCCTCCTGAAGCTTCGCCAAATTTCCCGTGTGTTTATTGAAGAAATCGAAATAGGTCGTGCCCAAACCCATGGACCACGTGTTGAGCCGATAAGTAGTGTAAGCTTCCGTACTCAGGAAAACGAAACGCATAGCATCTCGAATTGTGAAGTAGCTCCGCCCAAGCCTTAACAGATTTTGTCTCGTCACTCGGACATTGAAGGCTTCGAAAAAGGATCCGAACTCCACGATTATCGCGGCGTCCTGAGACGAATTCTTAAAACTTTCGAGGATTCTCGCCTTCCATTGTTCTTCGATCTGGTCCGCTTCCATGTTGAGTTCCAGAGTCGAAGGGAGCACGGTGTGAGTTTTCCGTATCAGAAGCCCATTCTTCCTGAAATCCACTCGGAGAATCGGGTTTATGTTGAAACGAATCGCTAGATGCAGAATAGCGGATAACGCATTCCTCCCCGTTGTTGCGTCCTCATCGAAGAAGGGAAGCTCAATTTCATGGAAGAATTTTCGGATGGTAGCGAGATTGAGCTCCCCGGGCGGCCGCTTCGCGGAGAGGGTGCAACTCTTGAAGAACATGATGGGTTGCATCTCGGAATCACGGACCACTTTGTGTGAACCGTTCGTTGCGTCGAGGGGGGCCTGCCTCATTTTCTTCAGCAAGATCGTCTTGACCGCTTCGGCGAGTAAGTCATCGGTACTAGTTGAGACACGCGCCGAAGAGAACTCGTATTTTCCCATCATGGTCCTGATCCATCCGTCGCAGACGTAGGAAAAGAAATCCGAACACGGGTCCCGACTCAAGTTGAGGCTCTGACCGTATATTCTGGCTACTTCTTCACACGCCCGAGTGCTGCAGATATCCTCACTCAGAGCCGAAGCCACGAAACCACAGAAGATCAATACCGTTCGGATAGCAGCCGCGACAAATCCACTCCGAGTGTAGGCAGGAGGGCTGGAGCAAATCATAGCGGGTTCACATCAGTAACGGGAGTTCTCGGGGATGTTTCGCTGAGCGACAAAGAGGACGGAAAGAATCAGAGTCGCCGGCGGTATCGAAATCCGGAAGACATGAACTTCTTTGTTTGATCGGAACCACTCCTCTTCAGCGAGCTGCTCTGGCTGAGCTCTGCTGTGATCCAGCGCGAGAGCCAAGCCAAAGCGGAAGGCTACCGTCCCATCAGTCTCCGAAGAACCACCTAGGGGAAATCTGTCCCTTGGACCCTCTCCGATGGTTGAGCCGATATGAGAGCTAGATACGGTGTAAGCAAAATCGGAATTGTCCCATTTGCGGTAGAATGCTCTTGTTGATGGGACCGCGCGGAAGATAGACGTATCTCTGGAGGCTACAATCCTACGTAACCGGATACAAGAGAATCCAATCAAAGAATAGATGCAGAAGCTCTAGCTTCGGAAAGCAGAAGTGCGCCAGAGCCAGAACCTATAGAGTTGGTTCTGAGTGCGCGCATGCTCTATTTCGTTGACCGCTCCTGTGGGACTAACTAAGTAAGTAGGTGGCAGCCGCGTCGAGCCCTCTCGAGGTCTAGGAAAAGGGGTTCGTGGTTCGTATGACTCTCGTGAGGCTGTCGAGAATGATGCTGTTAGGATCAATGAATAATCGGAATATCTCGATGATGCTAGGGCGGTGAATTGAGGAGCTCATTCGGTTTGCAACTTAGGATGCATGCGCGTGACATTCGCACTCGGCCGTCTCCTCGTGGAATGAGATGGGTGTTCACAGACATAGCGATGGCCACAGATTTTTCAAAAGCTGGGCTCATTCTCCGCGAGCGATACCGAACGGGTCCATGCCACTGAAGGACGAGAGGATCAGACGGTGAAGAGGACAGCATCTGGATGGTGAATCACGCCGGATGGGGATACGTTTCGATGCTTCTCTCGTCAATCATCGGACCCTCTGGAGTCGCGAAGACGATAGGTTTTTCGTAGAGAAAAACCATCGTCTCCCTTGGTAATGGATGTGATGAAACGGTGAAATCGACGATATTTATTCCCCAGGTGACGAAAATTGTGAGGGCAGACGGCGATTAAGTCGCGGACCGAAAAATATTCGCCATCTTCTCCACCAGAAATCACGGTGTCAACGGAGCAAAACGATTCTTGTGTATAAATAAAAACTCTCCAATATGATACCTTGTCAGTCCTTTGTGCGGAAAAGAGTTCCGCGTTCCGGCTAGACTGCAAGCTGCTAGAAAAAGACCGAATTCACGGAACAGTATACACTACAAATTTCGTCCCATCCTCGCTCCCATCGGGCCTCCCTCCCATCATGACCCGGAGCCGAGTCATGCCGAATATTCGTCTGGAATATCGACACAAATCCTAGAAAATTCCAACAATACCCGATAGCTGTGTAACATTTCCTGGGATGTTTCACCTCACCCGGAAGAGGTCAGATCGGATGAATTTCCTTGATCGATGGATTTCCAGAAAGTTTTCTTTCATGAAGACGCGATGGGCGAGCTATTCAATTGAGCGGAGACCTGATTGAAGATCCTCTCAACAATGGAACAACGCAGGAATAGACTCACCAGCTACTGCTGGATATTCCAGGCGATACAGTACCGAATGGAAGGGATAAAGTGAGTAGGGGTCAAAAGAGCAGGATTCTGTCTCGACTCGGATTTTATGCAGTCATTGGTTCCCTTGCAATCGATGCAATGGTCGACCAAAAATACCCATGCCAAGCTGGAAAGAGACTCTCGCGCCTGAGGCAGACTATTTTGCCCAAGGGAAAATGGGGACCAGGGCGGATGTTGAGTGCCGTCCTGATCGGAGATTCGGAAACTAGGAGCATGTCGTGAAATTTACCGACTCCTTGGAAGTGGTGCTCTCAGCTAGATCAAGATTCCCCTCCCGAGGTGCGAGAAATATCATACCTCGAGGGGAGATAAAAGCGGCCTTGAGCACCTCCATTACCCGTCCTCGCGGATCGATCCTGTAGAGCTGCCTCGGGAGCTGCTCCGCGCGATCGATTGAAAAAACGGAAATGGCTTCCCGGAGCCCTCGGAGACGTCTGATTTGAATGGAGATTCCTCGAACCAGGGCCCGCCGGGAGCAGTGGCATTAGTGGATAGGTCAAATGATTCCGGGTTTCTCACTGAATCAGTTTCTTCAACCGGAACCATATCCACCATTGGAAAAGTTCCGTTAAGGAGGAGATTCAGTCTAACTCTATCATGGATCGAACTGGTGCAGACCACATGAGAAGCCTACATTCGAGACAATGCAATGTCAATCGGATTCACTGACGAGCGACGCCGTCGGTCGGAATGATTACAAGTCGGTCCCGAGGGCGAAAGGCAGGTGTCGAGGGATCTGAGGAGGGATGCGGGCCGATGCTGGCTTCCAGAGCGGTGCCGACCTCAGCGTAGATCATTCGAATCGACCTCCTTGGGGAAACGGTGCCGTCTTCCATGACGAACTGCTCGAGAAAGCGTGGGCGCTGCCGCTCCGTACACATATCGGCTCAAGGAGCATTCTCGGATTGGAAAGTCTTCTCTGTCTGAAGGATCAATATCTTCAGACACGGGATCACTCAGGCGACATTAAGGTCACAGGTGCCAGTTTTCCCAGCCCTCATGACCAATGTGTCATTTGCCCGATTTTTTCTGTTCAGCGCATTTCTGTTCAATCTCGTGCCCTATACACGACAGCTGTCGGCTCGACGGACAACGGAGCTCAGATACTGCTCGTCTCAGAGGGAGACCAAGGAAGTGCTCATTGTATTGTAGAAAAATTCAATCATGTCAAGTTTTTTTCACCACCCCCCCTCCCCGCGGTGACGGGTGATCTTCGGTATATGAGGCCGGGATCCACAAACACCGTGAGTGCCCCTCGAGCGCCGCGGAATACTTCAAAATTCTACGGGTGTTCTATGACCAGCAATGGTCACAAGAGACTCAAGCATGACTCGTCCATCGAGTCGAGTATAAGCACCTACACTCCTTGAGAGCTTTCCAATATGATAGACAGATTGCCTCTCCTCGTCGGAAATCGGTCATCCAAGATATTCAAGCGGTGAACCAGTTGTAACCTTGAGTCCTCGCTACTCTTTCATGAGAGCATCATGCTGTGCTCAGAAGCATCGATTTCGCGTGAATCAGCTCTCACATTCGAACGGAAGCCTTTCGCTCCATCATCTAGTCCCCACACAAGGGCGGCATTCATCTGCCAGATCGGAAGGTTAGGTAACGCCCAGAGATTTTTTGGAAGCATCCATTTTTGACGTCGCGCACCCTGGGGGGTGACCTGACAGTGTTTTCTGGCTCTTTCTCCCTTGGAAGCAGAGCCGTTGTTTCTTCTTCTAACTCGGACTCCCCGATTCTGTCCGCTCGATCACTTGGAGAAGCAACGAATTGTCGAATCGATAGACCCGCGTCTTAATGTTCATAGACGACTTGAGTGCTTCCCGTGCGTCCGCGATCCCCAGCTCACCGGTGAACTAGGTGGGCCGAGACCTGAGCCTTAGCCTATATAACCAGGTCGAGGAATTCTTCCCGACAACTTGCTCCGAAAAAGCCCCGGGAAAAATCGGTGGAGGGGAATATGATGAATGATGAAGTGATCGTTGTCATGCAATCGATACGACGAGGATCTCCACGCTACGATCCTCTCAGAGCCACCTCGACCTTTCCGCGATCGGCTTTCGCTCTCTCAAAGCTTCAGCGCCGCCGGGAGGAGTTTCCTTTTTTGTTTCCACCTCGTATCTAGCGAAATCTTCTGGAGGGCGTCCGGACTCTCTGCGACACATATGTATCACCTTCGCGATTGTGAGTCGCGGCGATCCCTGCGTTTAATGAATTCCGTGATGGCTTGAAGTCTCGACGAGAACAATGATTCAAAGTCACGAGGCGCTGGTCCAGTACAATAAAACTTTTCTTTAACGTCTTCACTGGCACCACGACAAGACTAAAGGGTTTATCGCGATGTTTCCCTCTGCGCGGAATGGCCAGAAAAATAGCCATCGACGCCGCGCCGTTCGTGAAGAGTTGACCTTTGTGACGTAGCGATCGGATGGCCACAGCTCTGCGGCAGCCAAACACCGAACTGTTGATTACCATTCAGTTTCCATTAGATATAGCGTCATGAACCACACTTTTGAAGCGCGCAATTAATTAAGATATCCGTAACGATAATGACGGTGATTGCCGTGGATTGATGATGTCAAGTGAAGGTGAATCGGTTGATAGAGGTGCTCGTCTGGCTGAATTCGGTAATCCGTTCGAACAGAAACACGAGACTCAGACCTGTGCAATCCCGTGTCGACGCAGTCTCCACCCTTTGAGTCTCAATTGGAGAGGAGGAAAAAGTCGAGCCAGAACCTTCTTGGTGCCCTACTGAAATTCCTGATGAGAAATAATCTCACTCACGGTTCACTAATCGTAGCGGAGAAAACGATTTGGCTCGATGCAATCGAGTAGAACACTCCCGGGATGGTCTACAGAGCTCCATGGGGTTCAAGACATACCCCGGTGAGTTCCTCGATCGGACTGGTCCTGCAGCTCATTCTGCCATCGATGGGTGAATTAGTCTGCTCAAACTAAGCATCTCCTCGAAACCAAAATGTGAATCACCATCGATCCTTAGAGCTGTACAGTAAGAAGGCGACGATCGCGATTCCTACTATCAGACTATTCCTGGAGACTTTCGGGAGCTGTTCCCGCACAATCGAGACCGCATCATCGACTTCAGGGACGACCTTCAGGGAGATCTCCGCCGCCAGCTGAGGCATTGGACCGGAGGATCGGACGGAAAATTCTCCGAGGCTCCGGTGGGAACACCGGATTCCGTATGACGATTGCAACCTCGACCGACTGAGTCAGATACGCTCGATCGGAGATTAGACGGTTTGCAGATTTTTCGACAGTCTGAATTTTCTTCCGCAGGGAAATGTCCGTGGACTCTAGTAAACATCGTCGGCTGTATTGTGTAATTTCTCGATCGAC